TGGGAACGGGGCAGGACCCCCTTCCCAAAGCCCACCTGGCTCTTCTTGCTCAGCAGGGCCCACCCATTGGCATCAAACTCCTTCCTCTTCTTGTCCAGGCTCTCCTGCTTCAGGTACTGCCTGGAGGGACGGGAAAACAGGGAGAGGTCACTCCAAGGAAAAGGGAAATTTGGGGAAAAGCGGCTGGAAAATTCCTCCCCCCCCGCCCCTTCTTCCCCATAAAGTGTTTGCAGATGGAGGGAGGAAGGGAAGGTGGAAATTTGGAACAGCCAAAGTTGGGGTTTTTAGAGGGAAAGGAGGGGGGGAAAGGATTTTCCAAACTTATCCAGGAGGGAATAAAAGGATTCCTGAGGGAGCAGAGTCCGAGCCAGGGGGGAATGCAGGGGGGTGAAAATCAGGATGGGGTGAACTTGGCCTCAAAATGTCCCCAGGAGGGTCCCAATGGGTTCCTGGAGACCCCAAAGGAGCAGGAAGACCCCCCAGGAACCATCATCATCCTCCAGGAGTGGCACCTTCTCAAAGGACCCCAAAGACACAGGGTGGTGGCCCCAAGATGTCCCCAACGACCCTAAAAGGGGCTGCTAATGTCACCAAGTGTCACCCAGCTCTCCAGACACCTCCTGATCCTCCTGGAGATCCCAAAGGACCAGGATGACCCCCAAGGACCAGGAAGACCCCCAGGAAGTGGCACCTTCTCAAAGGACCCCAAAGACACGGGGTGGTGGCCCCAGGATGTCCCCAACGGCCCTAAAAGGGGCTGCTGATGTCACCAAGTGTCACCCAGCTCTGGAGACACCTCCTGGAGACCCCAAGGACCAGGATGACCCCCAGGAAGTGACACCTTCTCAAAGGACCCCAAAAACACGGGGTGGTGGCCCCAGGATGTCCCCAGTGACCCTAAAAGGGGCTGCTGATGTCACCAAGTGTCACCCAGCTCTCCAGACACCTCCTGGAGACCCCAAGGACCAGGATGACCCCCCAAGGACCAGGATGACCCCCAGGAAGTGACACCTTCTCAAAGGACCCCAAAGACACGAGGTGGTGGCCCCAGGATGTCCCCAACGGCCCTAAAAGGGGCTGCTGATGTCACCAAGTGTCACCCAGCTCTCCAGACACCTCCTGATCCTCCTGGAGATCCCAAAGGACCAGGAAGACCCCCAGGAAGTGGCACCTTCTCAGAGGAGCCCCAAGGACTCCACAACCTTTTGGGGTCATTCATGGGGGGGTTTTTGTGTCCCCCCCCACCCCAACCCCAAAACTTCCAGGATGTCCCCAAATCCAAGCCAAGAGGTCACCAAAGAACCTCCCCCCTGCTCCTTTTCCCAGGATAAATCCCCAGGGATGGAAAAGATGCTCCTGGGAAAGAGTTGGAGCTCAGGGGGGGTGGTGGATAAAACATTAATTAATTCATTAATTCATTAATTAACACCCCAAAATAACCAACCCCAACAATCAGGATCCGCTTGGGAGGGAGAATCTTTTCCAAAGGCTTGGAAAAGATTCCCTGAGGATCATCCAGTTTAGGGAAGGGGCAGAACCTGAGCCTCGAGGAGGAAAATTGGGATAATTTGGGAAGGGATAATTAATCACCAAATCCACCCCCAGGGGCTGAAAATTGGATTTTTTGGTTTTTTTTTTTTTATGTTTTTTTTCCCAGGGCAGTTGCTGGGATTGGTTCCCAAGTGATGGGAGAGGAGGAAGATGAGGAGATTCCCAGCTTTTCCTCCGCTAAAATCCCGACTTTTCACCTCATTTTTTAACAATATGGGAACAAAATGCCCCCCTAAAAAAAAAAACAACCCACAAAGCACCTTCCTTAAAAAATCCTCTCTCTGGGTTTCCCTCCAGGGGAAAACTTGCAGCAGGAAATTTAAATTCTGCTTTTTCCTGGGAATTCTTTCCCTTCCTCCCCCCCAGAGCTTTTTTTTTTTTTTAAGGGGGGGTTTTGATTTTTTTTATTTTAGGGTTTTTTTTAGGGTTTTCTTTTTTTTTTTTTAGGAAGCTCTAAAAGATTGAAAGCAGGAAAAAAGGGGTCACTAACCATGAGTAGGAACCTCCGTCCCCTCTCTCCTTTCCAAGGTGTGATCCTCCCAAACTGCTTTTCAACCAATTAAAAGCCTCCTAAAAAAGGAAAAATAAAAAAAAATAAAAAGGAAAAAAAAAAAAAATGGGAATTACAGCCGGAATTTTCGGCTCCCCCCCCTAAAAGGGTTGGGTGGGATATTCTGCTTTTTATCCCTAAAATGAGCTTGGGGAGGGGGGGGAAGTTTCCTTTCTCTCACTTCCCGGTGGGAATCGAAGGAATCCGGGATGGAAGGAGCCCATTCCGGGCTCTGGGAAAAAAAAAAATGCGATCTTTCCAGGTTTTTGGGGGATTTTCCTGCCTCCAGAACGGGATTAAGGAAGAAGGGAACAAGTTTTCCAGGGTTGTGGGGGTTTTTCCCTTGGTTTTTCCTGCTCTCAGAGTGGGATTAAGGAAGAAGGGAACAGCTTTTCCAGGTTTTTGGGGCTTTTCCTCCCTCCAGAAGAGGATTAAGGAAGAAGGGAGCAGCTTTTCCAGGTTTTTGGGTTTTTTTTCTTGGCTTTTCCTCCCTCCAGAACAGGATTAAGGAAGAAGGGAGCAGCTTTTCCAGGTTTTTTGGGGTTTTTTTTCTTGGCTTTTCCAGGTTTTTGGGGCTTTTCCCACTACAGCAAAGCTGGGATGATGAAGGAACAGCCTCGGGGTGTTCCCTGAATCCCAAAATCCCGCATCACAAACCCCTCCTCCCCCTTTGGAATCACATCCCATGGGAGAACAGCCCTGGATCAATTTATAGGGCCGGGAAAGGTCCTGGGAAGGTCCCTTGGGATGGGCCTGGAAGAGCCAGAGCCGGGAATCTCCTCCTGCTCCCGAATTCCCGGGAGCTGCAGGAGCAGGGAATGATCCCAATCCCTCTTTTCCTCCTCAAAGGGGAACACCAGGAAGACTCTGGAGGCTGCTGGAAAGCCCAAAGTGACCCCAAAAGGCTCCCAAAAGTCCCCCCAGGACCCCAAAAAAGCGGGATCGAGGGGGTGCCACGACCCCAGAGGAGAAAAAATCCTACAAAGCAACGGCCCCACGGGGGGAAATCCCGATCCCACAGCTCCCCAAAACCCCACAGAGGGAGCAGGGAGAGGGAAAAGGGAGAGGGGAGGGGAAAGGGGGGAGGAAGGAACTGTGGGGGTTTATAGGGCATGTCCTCAGTGACCCCATATGAGCTATGGGGGGGTTATAGGGCATGTCCTCAGTGACCCCATAGGAGTGTGGGGTGTTATAGGGCCTGTCCTCAGTGTCCCTGTTATAGGGCCTGTCCTCAGTGACCCCATAGGAGCTGTGGGGTTTATAGGGCAGTGTCCCCTGTCCCCATAGGAGCTGTGGGGTTTTATAGGGCCTGTCCTCAGTGTCCCTGTTATAGGGCCTGTCATCAGTGACCCCATATGAGTGTGGGGGGTTACAGGGCCGGTCCTCAGTGACCCCATAGGAGCTGTGGGGGGTTTATAGGGCATGTCCACAGTATCCCTGTGGGGTTTACAGGGGCCTGTCCTCAGTGACCCCATAGGAGATGGGGGGTGTTATAGGGCCTGTCCTCAGTGTCCCTGTGGGGTTTTATAGGGTTTGTCCTCAGTCTCCCTGTAATAGGGCCTGTCCCCCTGTCCCTGTGGGGTTTATAGGGCCTGTCCTCAGTGACCCCATAGGAGCTATGGGGGGGTTATAGGGCCTGTCCTCAGTGACCCCATAGGAGCTGAGGTTTTATAGGGCAGTGTCCCCTGTCCCCATAGGAGCTGTGGGGTTTTATAGGGCCTGTCCTCAGTGTCCCTGTGGGGTTTAT